GTCCCATAAATGGGGTAATTAGCGGGCAAGCCAGACGCACACGTAACACATGCAAGCAACAAAGGTGCCCCCTGAGACAGCTCCCAAAACCACTGTAAAAGCAATGTGGTTCATAAGTACACAGCTGCTCATCCCAAGCACATACAAGTCCAATCAATGAGTCTCTTGGCCGGATTGTACCAAAACACAATATTACTGCAGAATTGATGGTCAATGAACGAATGAATGAATGGTGTGAGGCATGTAATAAATTTCTATTTAACTCCTGGCGCTTCCTTCAGCTGAGGGATCCTATTCCCCATGCAACCAAGCGACTACACCTTTCTTTGAAAAATGTGTCTGTCAGCCTATCAATCATCATTTAATTCCCGTCCATCTTTATCATAAGTTGCCGGAAACGGTGAACAGATTTTCCACTCTGCTCTAGTGATCTCCATAACACTGTTCCACTTCAAAGGATCAGCAGGGGAGGGGCCATCTTAAAAGACCCAATTCCCTGCTGTGTCTACAGATAATAACGCCGTAATCACAGGAGCTCAGACAAACAGAGGAAACATCACAGAGAGATTTTAGAAGTTTTCTTGTGATTTTTATTTATTTAATTTTTTTTTTTGGGGGGGGGGGGGGGTATAGACTGTTGTTCAGATGAAACAAGATATATATAAGCCTCAAGCAACTTTGAAGATAGGTGGGGGGCCTATCAGGATAATGGTTACCTTATTGCTCACAGTAACATGCTTCTTTGCGTGCCCAACTATTAACTTTATTTTTATGGTTATACACTTGTAAATAGCTGGATATTTCACTGCTAAGTACAGGCTTAGCAAACCAATAGCTAATCCCCTAATGAAACGCAAACCTTTCCGGTAACAGAACCAGCATCTTTATTTTGCTGGACATTGTCATCACAAATACAGAAACCAGACACACTATCTATTACAGTATAGTCCAACAGTTCCCTGCTTTAGCACAGAGCAGCGTGCCCTACACAGCAGCTAACAGGGACCAAAACTGACAGCTAGAGAATTCATGTCTTCCTACAGGACTATGAGGTCCTATAGTCGTTACTCCAAGCTAATCACCAACATCATTCCAAAGCCTCAACGTCCTTCGCAGTTTGCCAAACCCAAACAGAAGGGTGTGCCAATGTCATTTGACCTCCAATGGTGCCCGTTGGTTTACTTGTAGCTGGATGGTCATGTGCAAAAGTGCCTCTCTTTCCCCTTTAAATTGGGGCCAGCGATTCAGAAAAATTCCCAAGGTGCTTCAAAAACTGCTGACGGATACTTCCAAGATCCAGAAGAAGCGATAGCGAGGAGGGGGGATAACACAAATGAACTGACCTTATCTTAACAACAGTGAGAAACACTGCCATTACTTGCTAAACAATTAAGGGAGACTGACTTTCATGTGGATGACAAGGGCCCAAAGTCAATTATGGGTTCAAAAGACCGCAGAGACTTCATTTTCAGGGGGAGTCTCTCATGGTGCTTTTCTTATGTACTCTGATATGACCGAAAGCAAGACTAAATAAGCTTATCTGGGGGAAAAAAGGGCATATCTATACATTATTCATTATTAGTAGTATCACACATTGCGATTGATCAGAACTTGAAAATTTCCAACCTCCTACATTAAAAAGTACCATAGAACAGCTTAAAGGAATGGATTTGCAATGCAAATTGATGCAAGCTAATGATAATTCTGCTGGTGTTCAATGCTGATAACACAACACAGCAATTCTCAGATGTGCTAATGGAAACTAGCACATAGTAAATCATAATGTACACCAAGTGGACAGTAAACAAGCATCTCCAGTTTTTTGTGAGCAGGAACCGCGCTATGACTAGTGTCTCTTCGTAATACGGCTAGGGTTTGGCCTGTTTCCTGCATGTCAGTGGAAAAGCGCCATTACTGTCAAAGACAGCTGGCCTTATGGTGAAGATAGGCCTGATCTTTTACTCATCAGGTGTTTACAGGGGTCGTAGAACTTAACAGCTGGAGTGGGCCACATTTTGTGTTCAGTTTGATAGCATTGCACACCCATGTGTCAGAGTTACATACAACCATAACGTAGGCTTCAAAGAGTTGCTCTAAATCGCAGAAATATGGCAGTGCTATTCCCAAAACAACGTACCTTTGCATGTCATCGAAATCAACCTACCATTCCTGTAAGAAGCCATGAGAAATAGCTCAACTTATTCCATTCATACCACTGCAGAGTGAAGTGGTGGCCATACACTCACACTAGACTTCCTTCCTCAGACCTCCAGACAGTTACAATATGCGCAGAGGGCAGGCCATATCATAGACCTCATTTGGCTGGTTTCCACACACTCGTGGCTTGTCGACAGCTACTGTAAATTCTGAAATCTTTCGACATGCTGCCAAGGCTGCAGCACCACGCTGAGCTTTTATAAAACATTACAGACGTCAAGTATCCCTTGTAAAAACTGGCCACCCGTACCGTAATCGCTGGATATCACTTTATAGGCTCCCATCTATCTGTCTCTGGCACGGGCGGACTGTGGGAGACGTGGACCGCACAGGCAGAGGGATGTGCCGATAGCAGAGCCCAAGGCAGATGGCTTATCCCGCAGAGGGTTATTAAAGCTAGGTGTGGGTGTAATCACCACTGCTGATAGTGCAGGCCTGCTTCTCCCAAGCGGATATTTGCATACCAGTCAGATAAGCACTGAATTATTCTGTCATTCGCCGAGCCTCCGATCCATTTCCATCACACTCGGAATCTCCCTTGACCCCATCCACTGTATGCTCCCCGATTTACGAAAGGGATGCAAATCGATTATGGAGTGTAAATTTTTGCACTCCCCCATCCCCAAGATAAAACTTCACACGAAACAACCGAATGTAATAATTTGCGCAACGGCACATTAAGCACAAAGCAGACTATCATAATTCTTCTTTAAAAGACAAAGGCCAGTTACAGCATGTTAAATACCTTTTATTAAACTAATGTGGTGCAACATTTCCACAAAGAAAAGGCAAGATAATTACCTTTGCAGCAAAGCAGATACAGTTCTTATTTCTTCTGGGGAAATTCATGGCATTCCTAGTGAAATCCACACCAAGACAAATAGCACACAACATGAAATCTTACCTGGTCTTCCCTTACTACAATAAGCAAAGTTTTCTCAAAAATTTCTTTGAAGCCAATTTGGTGAAAGACCAGCCATCTGCTTCGGATCGTCATGTTTCATCCATCTATTTTATGACTGTTTGCCGACACCACAGACCAAGCCCCCGCTATGACTTTAACAGCTGAGGCACGAAAATCAGTCAATGGAGATTCGACAGAGAAGCTTCTGACAAGCACAGTGAAACAAATTACACTCGGAGCAGAGTCTGTGCACCGCGTGAGAACTCTTTATTCCAGGCATCAGTGAGGATGAAATGACCAACATTAAGGGAGCTGCATAGTGCTGCCTTAGCTAGGTACAGGCACTCGAATTCCTCTCCAGAATCTTCACCATTGAGTATTCCCACCAAACACTGTTAATGGAAATCATGACCAAACACACAAGATACGTGTGTGTGTGTGTGTTTGGACCATTTGGACAGAAGCGTAATAAAAAAAATGAATGAGAGGTTTCTGATGCTAGCAACAATTTATGCTTGGAGTTTCATGTTTTCCTTGAGTCACCTGGGCTTACACCCACAATCCAAAAACACGCCGTTAGGCTAATTGGTGTTTCCAGATTTTCTGTGGCTGTGATACACTGCCATCCCGAGCAGGGTGTAGCCCAGCCCTGCAGCATCTAATGCCTGGTAAAGGCTCCAGGCTCCTCGTGACCTGGCCTGGAAATGCAGTTGGAAGACTGATAATACCTGGGGAGGAAATCATAAAGTATACACTAAACTCGAGAATGACAGAGCAATAAGACACTCCAGACTCAGGCCCAACAGCTGTGACACCATAAGTCACTGAAAGGCTGTGCAGGCATGTGCCATAGACCTATGATCATTTCCTGTAAACATGTCCTATGCTGTAAATCAGGACAATAAACAGCTGGTCACCCCCCTGTGAATCTGCACGATTCTGCTACAAGGGCTCAGTGCTCCAGCGAGTACCGAGGCTTATGCCCAGACGTACCTTGTGTCACGCGTCTGCCTGAATGCTGCGTAACCCACATAGACCTTCTGTTGACGCCCTGAAGGAGAAAGCTTGGTTTTTAAGCCCCTTAATCTCACTGTTTTCTTGTGTCCCATTTCTGCACACTGCCGAAGCCTGCAAAACCCTAACTAAACACAGATTGCACGCTTCCTGACGAAATTACTGCGGAAACTCACTGGATGAGATCCCTGCCCGGGCTGTGGGAAATTCGTTTTGATGATTTAACAACTTAATGTAGCAGAGATATCAATTTGCAGTCCTTCCCATAACAGGTCTAGTTTTTAGATGGAATGACGGCTCAGTGGGTAGCACTGCACCCTGACTCAGGGCTGGAATGACGGCTCAGTGGGTAGCACTGCACCCTGACTCAGGGCTGGGAGGTTCAATTCCTGCCCCAATCACGTGCGTGTGGACATTTCCCTGTGAATTACCTGCGTGTGCTTTCTCTGACGTCCGCAGTTAATATCTGCGGCTAGCTGAATTAACATTCCTAAAGCAGCCATAGTGAGCAAGCAAATACCTTGTATCGGATTCACACCCGGTCTAGAATATCCCTGTCTTGCACCCTGGGCTTTGTGCATTATGGATAAAATTGATAGATGGTTAATGGTTTATACCCCATCCAGGGCTGTTCCCTGCTTTGCACCCATAGCCTGTGACCCTGAACAGGAAAAGCGGTTGCAGAAAATGGATGGATGGTTTATACGGGAAATACAAACCTGGTAAAATGGATGCAGTTTGCAATAACATTACGAACAGCGGGGTTTTGCTCCTTGAAAGGATCAGACAGCTGAAGGCAAACGCTAGCTATTCTGCTAACGGCAACCTCTTGGTGGGAGTCCACAGGAGGTCAGAGAGGACTTACCTGCAGACCAGGGTGGCGATGATGACACACCAGGCTGTGCAGCAGCAGTCGGCGTTGGGCTGATCCTCGTTCTTTTGGCGCCGGCAGCAGAGCCAGAAGGAGTAGAAAAGCAGGAAGAGGAGGTCGAGGGCCAGGCAAGCCAGCGCCACGCCGCCCAGAAGCAGGAGGGACTGGGAGACAGGAAATGACATCACAATGGAACCCAAACAACTTCTATAAGCAGTTTACACAACAGAGCAGAACAAGGATTTTGACTGTAACCACCAGTGCCCCTAGGGGGTGCATGGATTCATAGTTACTACAAAAAACTTTGACTAGTTGTAAAGGGAAATAGCAACAGATACCAGGACATATTCACTGTTGCTAGTCATTGCCTCGTTGAAATATATGGTTTGCCCAGGTTGACCACAGTACTTTGAGTCGCTAGCTGTACTGCACATTCACTTTAACAGCAGTTAAGTTTTACTATCCCATTAAACCTGATTTCCAACCATGTTTCACATCTATAATTAGTTGAAAGGAGTTTTTGTAACTTAACTGCAGTGGCATGGCTCCGTTTAGGACCCCCCAGCACACCTCAGTGCTCACATTTAGCAGAACGTCTGTGCTACAAAACAGGCCCAACTGCCAGTTCTGAGCGGTGATGGTAGTTCAGCCTTGCCGTTCATTTTCAGGACAAAGCTTGCCATTGTAGATGTCAAAGCACAGTGAACCAAACACTAAGATGAAGATGGCACATGTATTTGTTCGGACCTCCCCCTTAGTGCGGAGAAGGCATGTTAAGTGACTGTCATTGGCTGATAATTAAAATCTAATTTAAAAACAACAAAAACATCAACATAAATACCCTTTGATCACAAGGACCAATTATTAAACCTTCAGAATATCCAATTAATTCGGCAATTGAGGTGATTTTCATTAGGGTGCGTGTTTCCATCATATCATTTACATGTACTTTATTCAGCAGATATTTTTGTCCAGAGAGATCTAAAATGAGACACATAGCATATTACAAACATCATATGTAAGGGAGATTACACTAAAGACCATTAAACCCAGACTCTAGGCCCACATAGAAAGGGAATTACCTGCTGTACTAGCAGAATCCAAGACCAAGGAATGCCAGCAAACAATGGATAACTGGACACCAGGAAGTCAACATATGCTATAAGAATTGCAACAAAGCCTTTCATTGTGTTGCCCATGTCAATCTATGGAGGGCTCTCAGGAAGACGAGCATACTGGAGCATCTTACTGTCCTAATGAGAGTCTCTACACTGGGCAAGAAGCCACAGACTGAGCAGTTCCCTTAACAGACCTTTTAGTTGGGAAGCAAAAGGTACTATACATCAGTATGATTTTCCTCTGCAAGACATTTTCAACATCCTTTTTTGGGAAAAAAGTATTTGTTAACAGATTCATTTAGCAAATTCTTGATGTCACAAGCTTTCATTGAGCAGCATATTAATGCAATACAAAACAACCAACTGCAGGCTAAATGGTTACACACACACACACACACACACACACACACACACACACACACACACACACACACACACACACACACACACACACAGAAGGTTATGCTAAAAGCATCTTGTCATGCCACTGGATAAAGTACATAATTAAAACTGGGTCAATGAGATGTACTAGATATTCTGAATCAGATGTGCACTATATTACCAAAAGTATTGGGATACCTGCCTTTGCATGGACTTTGATGACATCCCATTCATATAGGCTTTAATATGGAGTCCACCCTTTGCAGCTATAGCAGCTTCAAGTCTTCTAGGAAGGCTGTCCACAAGGTTTAGGAGTGCGTTTATGGGAATTTTTGACCATTCTTCCAGGAGAGGGTTTGTGAGGTCAGGATGAGAAGGCCTTGCTTGCAGTCTGTGCTCTAATTCATCCCAAAGGTGTTCTATCAGGTTGAGGTCAGGGCTCTGTGCAGGCCAGTCAAGTTCCTCCACACCAGACTCACTCATCCATGTCCTTATGGACCTTGCTTTGTGCACTGGTGCACAGTCATGTTGGAACAGGAAGGGGTCATCTCCAAACTGTTCCCATAAAAGTGGGAGCATGAAATTGTCCAAAATGGCATCAAATGCTGCAGCATTAAGAGTTTCTTTGAGTGGAACTAAGGGGCCAAGCCCAACCCCTGAAAAACAACCCCACACCATAATCCCCCCTCCACCAAACTTTACACTTAGCACAACGGAGTTTAGGCAAGCCCTGGCAACCGCCAAACCCAGACTCGTCAATCAGATTGTCAGATAGAGAAGCGTGATCCGTCACTCCAGAGAACACGTCTCCACTGCTTTAGAGTCCAGTGGCAGCGTGCTTTACACCACTGCATTCAATGCTTTACATTGCACTTGGTGATGTAAGGCTTGGATGCAGCTGCTTGGCCATCTGTAGTTTCTGAAGTTTGGAGGTCTGTAGCTATTGACTCTTCAGACAGTTGGCGACTTCTGCACACTGTGCGGTACAGCATGTGTTGTCCCCACTCTGTGATTTTACGTGGCCTACCACTTTGTGGCGGAGTTGCTGTTGTTCCCAATTGCTTCCACTTATAATACCACTAACAGTTGACCGTGGAATATTTAGTAGCGAGGAAAATTCACAAATGGACTTATTGCACAGGTGACGTCCTATCATGGTACCACGCTTGAATTCACAGAGCTCCTGAGAGTGACCCATTCTTTCGCAAATGTTTGTAGAAGCAGTCTGCATGCCTAGGTGCTTGATTTTACACACCTATGGCTATGGAAGTGATTGGAACACCTGGATTCAATGATTTGGAGGGGTGTCCCAATATTTTTTGCAATACAGTGCAAGTGAAAATTGGATAACATTAAAATCCTTAAAATGGTTTCCAAGTTCTGTTAATCATTCAAATAAATCATTCAAGAAACAGTTTTCATCAGCGTTCCACCATCTGCAATATATACTGTTCCAACAAAAACTTTTTGAAAAGTCGACTACACAGAACTATTAGGACAGCGGTCTTGGATAAGGACCATCTACATTGGGCAGCGATCTTGGATAAGGACTACCTACAGAGTCTCATGACACTGACAGCCAGGACGCCTCTGCCCTATTGCCAGCCTGGGGAAATAGATGGTTCTGCATATAACGCGTCAGACGATTTAACTTCAGCCCATGGCAAACACGCAGGCAAGGAAAACAAGTGAGTCGCAGAAAGGATTGCCACGGGATACAGGTTCAGAAAAGGGGGTTGGACGTATGTTCTTGGGCCGAGAGACAAAATGATACTCAATAAGGAATGTGTTACAAGGTCCAGCCGAGAGGACAAGCAGGTCACCTGACTCTGCCCCAACCTGAGACGTCCAAGCGGCCCATTTTACTGCTTGTTCCTTTGGCCATTCTCACGCACATTAATTCACCGCTGAACCACTTCCGTTCAACTGAAACAATGTGATGGTCAAGGCTGGATTAAGTTCTCTGGGAGCCCTAGGCTAACATTGGCATGGACATTTCATCGATTTAACAGACATTTGCCGAGACCCCGGGCTATGGCCTGGGCTAGCCTAGACATTAATCCAGCCCTAGTGATGATCAACAGCAACACAGCAGTTTGAACCACACAACTATGCTTTTTGATACTGTACATTAACAATTACAATTAGAGCCTTTGCTTTTTGCCAATAAGCCAGACAAAATATACTACTTTGTTTAATATTCATTAAGGGAACAACCCAATACTGATTAATTCTGTAACCAATCCTCCCCCAACCCTCACCCTTTGTACCAGACGTGCAGAAAAATTGCTAGGATACAAAGAACAAAAATGAAACACAGGATGGCACAATTCCCGCTTGCTGATGCTGCTCAGCCTCCAGCTAATTTTAGAAGACAGACTGCAGTCTGTGTTAAAAACTAATGAACAACAAAATCTCCTGCAACCAAAGATGCAAAACTGAGGCGGATGGGAAGCCGCTTGGGGAAATCCATGATAACCTTTAACAAACCACACTCTACTTAATTTAGATGAGCTAATACACCATAGCAAAGACTACAGAAGAAATCCTTCACAATCCCACTTACTGCATCTAATCACGAACCCCACACACTGCCATACTGTTTGATTACAGGGAAAAGACGACATTGTAGCTTACATTGTTTTCATTTTTGAAGAGGTGGCTAAACAGGTCTTTCATCAGAACTAAGGTGCAATTCCAGCACTACATGTCAAAGGACAACTTAAAACTGCTGAATCTCAAATTCCTACAATGTGCCCGTTAAGGATGGTCAGTACTATAGGTGACATAGGGCACCAGCTTCTGAGGGGCGTTGACTTGCCAGCCAGTTTCACCTTGCCTTGGACAGCTGGGGGGGGGGGCTTACCTCAGGCGCAACAATGACTAGGGCCAGTAGAGATACCTGGCCACATCTTTGATTCCCCATTGTTGTAGACCGCTGCTAGCCCACTTGACAGTTGCTAATAAACAAGCGTCACCAAAGTAATACTCAAGCTGGCCATTCTAAAACTACCAGAGATCTACCTTGTCTTTGAGCACATTCAGAAATTAATTAGAAGTGTTGGGAGTCTCCGCCTGTCTTTACAGTAACTAAGGAGGTGATGTATCTGTAGATAGAGCATAAACCAGAAAATAAACAGTTACAAAGGGCTCATCTGGTGAAGGTGACTTCCAGCCCCAGCATCTAGTCACAGCGAGGGATCGGGCAGCTGAAGCCAGCGGCATTTTCTTCACCAGAGCCAAACCGTCCCGGACTGGAAAGTGACAAGGCCGTGGAGGTGAGGTGGAATGGGAACTAATCCCAAAAACCCATGAACCAGGGAAGAGGTAAAAGAAAAGTTTCAGACTGCTTGGCAAAGGATTCTACCTCTAAAGTGGCATCGTTTGAATTTATAATTTTCATGATACAGGAAAGCAGATTTGTTCAACAATGCACCTGTACTGAGCTTAGGATAATACAGTAAGGTCTCAAGTACAAGAAAAATGATTCACTGCTGTTTTTATAACCTCATTTCCAAAAGCAAAACCGCCCCCACCTGATGTGCCCTTCCGGAGACTCTTTCCTTTACATGTAGCTGAACATCGCTGAAAAATAAGCCCATTAAGTTGCCACTACTTCAGGATGGCCCCATGAGAGCCCTTTTCCTGAACTCCGAAGGGAAATC